GGATATTACGTCATTGCTCCAAAATAAACTTAGATGACCGATGGTCAACAATGTTATAAAGCATTAATTTTTTAGAGTAGTATAGGTTGCAAAGTTTTGATTTATAATATATACTTATTGTAATAGTGCTGAAACGACATATATGTCGCCTTGGCATCAAACCCCAAAACGACTTATATGTCGCTTTGGCATCAACACTGAAACGACATATGTGTCGCTTTGGCATTACTGGGGTTTTAATAGTGTTTTTGTTAAAATATGCATTGAAAAACGTGACTAATCAACACAAATTAAATTGTATCCGAAAGAAGAGACACATCTTTACTCAGTCGAACATAAAAAGTGAGTCTATTTATCAGTAAAATACAGATGTTTAAACAAGAATGTGTCCATGGTACACGGATGCCCCATTTGCACTATCATTTTCTATGTTCAGTGGACCGTGAAATGTGGGGTCAAAACTCTAATTTGGCATTAAAATGAGAAAGATCATATCATATGGAACATGTGTACTAAGATTCAAGTTGATTCAACTTCATCAAAAACTACCTTGACCAAAGACTCTAACCTGATGCGGGACAGAAGGACGAACGGACGGACATACGGACGAACAAACAAACGGACGTACAGACCAGAAAACATAATGCCCTCTACTATCGTAGGTGGGGTATACAAAATTTAAAAATTTTTCTTTAGATGCTTTTTCTTGGTCTTTGTGAGATTAGTTTCTGTCCAAGTTTCATAACAATCCATGAAGGTTTACAAACTTGTCAAAAAAATTTAATCCCAGAATGTCTGTAAAATGTTTACTGTAAAAAAAACTGATTAGTCCATCTATCAGAAAAATACCGACAATAAAAATATATTTTCAAAACTTTGCATCAGACACTATCTCAAAATCATAAAAAAAGCTTCTGCTTAAGTTTCATAAAATTCTACGAAGGTTTGGCAAAGTATTTGATGTGTAACAAACGTTAACCCCAGACTGTATCTTCTTGTTATCTGTGAAATAAACTAAGTTCATTTATGATTAAAATATGGAAAAATGAAAATGAATATTTTCAAAATTTTGCTCTGGATACTGTAGACATGATCAAGCTTCTGTTCAAATTTCATAAAATTCCATAAAGGTTTGACAAAGTTATTGATGACAGAAAAACTTTAACCTCAGATTGAATCTGAATAATAACTAAAAACAAATAAGTCTCTGTATCAGTAAAATACGGAAAATTAAAAAAAATGTTTTCAAAATTTTGCTCTGGATACTTTATTTTGGTCATATACAAGCTTCTGACCAAATAACATAAAATTCCACGAAGGTTTGACAAAGTTATTGATGACTAAAAAACTTTACCCTCAGACTGAATCTGAATGTAAACTGTAACAATAAACTAAGTCCATTTATCAGTAAAATATGGATCTTGAAAATAAATATTTTCGAAATTTTGCTCTTAATACTGTATTGTGGTCTTTAACAAGCTTCTGTCCAAATTTCATAAAATTCTATGAAGGTTTGACAAAGTGATTGATGTCAAAAAAAACTTTTAGCACAGACTGAACCTAAATGTTGACGACACTGACGACGACAACGGTATCTAGGATCGTTATGTATCGCTTTCGCATAATAAATTTCGAAGGCTCGACAAAAAGTAAGAAAACGAAATGAACATAGTTTAATTACCCGAGTATTTCGACCGGTTCTAACAAGTTCAACTTACCAATCAATTCTATTTTAATTCATTGGCAATTCAATTTTTCTTTGTTCTAAATTTCTTTATTTATATAGTGAAATGTCCCTTGGCACTTGAGATCTTAATATCAATACATATACTTGTTAAAATTGATAAAATGTTGACCGAGACTAATAAAGGAAAAAAAACAGCCTTGTTTGTGACAGATTCCGATATATAGTGGTACAAAACACTTAAAGGAGAAGTCAAAACGTACAAACAATGGACTAGAACCTCATGGACTTGTATTCCGGTATTGCCAGCAGAATACTAGGATATAAATTTCTAGCACGTACTGACTTTCAAATAATGCCATTGCCAAGTTTCAAGTTTTATGACAGTGCTTCGATATTTTTTTACACTTAAAAGATGTTTTAAACTTTGTGCGTTTTAAACTCCACATTTTATTAGCTATATTCTCTTCGAAATACTACTTCATCTTCCCCGTGGTGAGCAGGAGTAACAGATAAGATCGAGCACGGAAGAGGTTCTCCTTCGTCATTCTTAATTTTTTTTTTTCGCCCAAATGTCCTATACTTTTTTTTCTTTTCGCTCAATGGTCTTAAAATTTTGGTGCTCAAATGTCCTATACTTAAGCGCTCAAACGCCCTTTTTTATCGCTCAAATATCCTGCCATTTCGCTCAAATGCCATTTCCGCATTTAAGTATACTCATGTGAACAAAAGGATATGTGGGGTATATGTCTATCTGACAGCCCCAAACCTTTATTTTTGTCCATGTCCTGCGTATTTTAGTGATATTTCTTTAATAGAGGGTTGATGCTTACAAAATGCTGCTTGTGATTTTATCTATCATAGGTACCTTTTTGTGTTTTACATTATTTTATTGCAAAAGAGGTAAAACCTGCATTTTTTGCGAAGTTTAGTATCTTTTTTTTTAGTTTTCAAACATCCTTTTTACCGCTTACATCGCTGAGAAAAATATTCTCAGCTGAGAATATTCTCAATGTTGGGAATATTTTTTTTTTATGGCAGAGAAAAAAAGTTCTCATTTTTAGCTGAGCAATATAATTCATTCTGAGACTATTTTTTTCTAAGAAAATAAAACTTTTCTGACTTCTTGTCGGCTTCAGAATGTAATCAAATTTTATAAAAAGAAGATTTGTAGGTGCGAAATGTGCGCCTTTCCTTGCCGACCTCTTCTGATTCAAAACACATAAGCAAAAGTGAAGTACACAAATACTAAACTACCATAATACAATAACACAATGGCGGGATGTATAAATACCGAGTCACGCCAAAAAGATATCACGAAAAAACTGACTTACATGTTACACAGTAAAGGTTGAAAGTTGTATATACAAAGACAAATAAGAAGAGCACTTTAACACGTTATTAAGATGATTAACAACTATTCCTTCTGGAAATTCAAGCTCACCATTTCTACCAATCGACCTTATTTTGATATCCCAAACAAACAGGAATCAATATTACAAATGTTGCCTAAATTATCGATAACGACCTGATAGAGTTGGTCCTGCTTTGTTTCATAAAAAAGGAATAGCCAACATAGTTACAAGTATCATGTCGAAGGGAGGGATACATCGTACGTTTTAAAAAATCACTCTGATTCAAACACAATATTCTCTGAAAAAAAGGAAACAACACGTTATATATTTGATGCGTTCGAAGCACTTTTCTGGATTTACCTTGATCAGGAACGGTCAGAGCCGAAAATTTGAAAACTAAGGATGTATAAGGACTGAGACGTTAAAGAGCTAAGATAAAAAAAGGACCTTAAAAAAGCAAGATCCATCTAAGGCCAACTTTGCCTGAGGGAGTTGAAACCTTAGTTTCTATATGATTTCCAAATTTATAATTGGGCAATGTAAGAAAGTTTGTTATAGATCATGCCAGTACCGAAGTTCTGACTACTGAGCTGAGGAATCCCTCGGGGACTGATAGTCCACCAGCAGAGGTAACCACTCAGTGTTGTAAAATATGAAAACAACACGTTTTAAATTTCATGCGTCCGAAGCGCTTTTCTGGATTTACCTTCATCAAGCACTGACATAATTAATATACTTTATTTCTTGATTGACAACATATTTGTTACGTGTTTTTCAGCAGACAATCGGCGTTCCCATGGGAACCAACTGTGCCCCTCTTCTTGCCGACTTGTTTTGATTCATATGAGGCTGACTTCATACAGGAACTCCTAAGAAAGAAAGACAAGAAGTAAACAATATCCTTTAACTTTACCTTCCGCTGTATAGCTGGTGTTCTCATGATTTCCTTGACAGAGGGTTGATGCTCACAAGGAAGATATTAAACCAAGAGATCCAAATGATATTGAAATCATCCCTTCGAAAACTTTACAAACGGCAAAACGAGTTAGTTGACCGTTTAGAATATTCGTATCACAGATGATAGCAGATATGTTCCAAATGTCGCAACTACAATCCCGTCCCATTTGTCCTTCAAAAGTTGACTTATTTCCGGGTTTGTAATAACATGAGCAACACGACGGGTGCAACATGTGAATCAGGGTATGCTTACTCTTCCTGAGATCACCCCCGATTTTGGTGGGGTTCGTGATGTTCAGTTTTAAGTTTTCTATGTTGTAATTTGTGTACTATTGTTTGTCTGTTTGTCTTTTTCTTTTTTAGCTATGGCGTTGTCAGTTTATTTTCGACTTATGAGTTTGAATGTTCCTTTGACATATTTCGACTCTCTTTTAGTGGCCATTTAAATTTCCGTTCAGGTAACGTCAGTAGCACCCACTGCATTCTGGAAGATTTTCCCAGTTTCAAACTTTTGCTCTCCGTTCATTTACAGATGGCCACTGTACAAGATGGAAATGTTGTTAAACACGGGATACACCAGTTAATTTCATCATGTATTGTGGTAATGCTTACATCAAAAATGAATGTAAGCATATAATAACACGGATATGATTTTAGCCGAAGCATACACATAATTACTCTATTTCTCATAGAAATGTGTGTGGCCTACCAGTGTTACGCATGTTACGCTAGAAAAATTATTTAATATTTGTTTCAATATGTTTACAAGGGGTTCTAAAAGTGTTTCTCCATTTGTTTGATAGAAGGACTAAATTTGAGGTAAAAATATCTTTAAAAAATCGTTTCCTTCCCAATTGTCTACATCGTTGTCTACAATTCTATATCTTAGTTCAAGTAATGGTTCAGGAGGTGTCTGACAAGTAATGGTTCAGGAGGGGGTCTGACAAGTAATGGTTCAGGAGGGGGTCTGACAAGTAATGGTTCAGGAGGGGGTCTGACAAGTAATGGTTCAGGAGGGTCTGACAAGTAATGGGTCAGGAGGGGGTCTGACAAGTAACGGTTCAAGAGGGGGTCTGACAAGTAATGATTCAGGAGGGGGTCTGACAAGTAATGGTTCAGGAGGAGGTCTGACAAGTAATGGTTCAGGAGGGGGTCTAACAAGTTACGGTTCAGGAGGGGGTCTAACAAGTAATGGTTCAGGATGGAGTATGACAAGTAATGGTTCAGGAGGAGGTCTGACAAGTAACAGTTCAGGAGGGGGTCTGACAAGTAATAGTTCAGGAGGGGGTCTGACAAGTAATGGTTCAGGAGGAGGTCTGACAGGTAACGGTTCAGGAGGGGGTCTGACAAGTAATGGTTCAGAAGAGGGTCTGACAAGTAACGGTTCAGGAGGGGGTCTGACAATGGCAATACCAGTAAAAATTATATCTAAGTTCAAGGAATGGTTCAGGAGGAGATCTGACAATGGCAATTAGAGTAAAAACTATATCAAAGCTAAGTAATAGTTCAGGAGAGGGTCTGACAATGGCAATAACTGTAAAAACTATTTATACGCTCAAGTAATGGTTCAGGAGGGGGTCTGACATTGTAAAATCAACCCATAAAGGATGGAAGGTTTACATGTAAGTACTGGCGTAGAATCGCGCATTTGACGTCACACAGGTAGATATAAAATAAGTTTGTCGTTCAAAGTATGACAGGTTACATAAGTACAGAGTTAACAGTAAAAATAATATTAATAAAGACAAATAAAAGAATACTATAACACGTTATTAAGATGATGAACAACGTCAGTACGCAGAATCTATACTTCAAGACCATCGTGTATTATTTGTGAAGTTGATAAGGAATATTTATCAACAAGGTCTTGGAACCTTCCGATTAACTTTTTTAGAAAAAAGGACGAGACGTTCTTTGACATGCCCCTGGTTCATCAACTTTCTGCTCAGACACTGGTGACGTTTTACAAAGTCTGAGTAGGAGCTGCAAGCTCTTGAATACCGAATAAGTTGGGAAATGTATATCCCATATGCAGGTGAAGTTGGTATATTGCTACTAAGGTGGGATAAATTGATAATTTCAAAATTAAAATCGTCTCGTTTGTCATAGGTTCTGGTACTGAGATGACTGTGTATGTCAAATTTGAGGTATACGTGTAAAAATGAGACGGAAGAAGCCGTGTCTGTTGTTTCTTTAATTTCTAGTTCTGGGGGATATATTAATGGAACCCAATCAGAAAAGTTCGGATTGTTAATAGAAAGAACATTATCAATATAATTGAAATTGAAATTAAATAACCTCGCTTCTTTGATCTTCTTGTTTTTGACAAGTGTCTGAAGGAACTCCGATTCATATGAAAATAATAAGAGGTCGGCAAGGAGAGGCGCACAGTTCGTTCCAATAGGAATACTGACAAATTGTTGAAAAAGTCTACCTCAAAATTCAACAAATATGTTGTCAATAAGAAACTCCAGCATATTGATAACTTATACCTCTGTGTTTTACCCTTTTGTTCACTATGAACAAAATATGCCTTATGGTATCCCAAAGTAATAAATGTATAGCGTATGCTACCATTTTTATGTTGAAAAGCATTGTGGATTATTTCTTTTAGACGGTTTTTCAATTTCACACGGGGAATGGTGGTATACAAGGTTAAAAATCAAAAGTTTTGATAGAACTAATTTCAGAAAAAGACCGAGATTTAAAATTATCCAGACGTTCTATAGAGTTTTTAAGAATCCACATATGGTTAAAACCACTACGCGAGTTAACAGTTTCACATTATTTCTGAAGGCCCCTGTTCACTGCGGACAGAATTTTTTGTCAATCTAATGGACAATTCCTTAGTGGAACATGCAGATGAGCCGGCATTGTACCGTTTTTGTACGGAATTTTGTGAAGTTTATGTATCCAATACAAACAAGGTAAGTCCTCCGATTTGTTGTTCGATGCAATGTTCATTGAAGCCATGAAGGACTTATGATTCGCCAAAATTTATCCTGTCAAATGATATGTTTTTGTATATGGGATTACCTGAGTGCTCATTTATTCCTAATTATTTTGCAAGACACTCGTACTAATACGATTTACACACAAAGACAATATTATTTGAAGCTTTGTCCGCAGGAACAACAACATACTTATCATGAAGAGATGATAGACATTCCACAGCCTCTTTGTCTTTGAAAACGGACTTTGGTCGATCATTCACACAGTTTTTTCAACTTATGAATACGACGTTTTATCAGATACCTAATTGTTTTGACCCATTCCGACAAAGTGTCAAGTTCAACTTTTTCTCGTTTAGCCCATGCTCTGGCGTAGTCCTCAATGGAATCCATAATTATGTTGAAGTTATGGTTCCAATTGATGTGTTGGGGTTCTCTAAACTTAGGACCATGAGAAATCACCTTTCGGAGATTTTCATGTTGAATTATGGTTAGATCCCCAGTAATAACATGGCCAGAGGGGCTGTAATTGTAAGGCGAGTGGGAACAGTCACATGTCAGAGGGTTTTTGAGGTATTGTTCTAAATCAAGGTCTTGTAATGCTTGTTTATAGTTAAATATTTTGGGTGCAATGGTTTTGGTGTAACTGTAGGATACATCAGGAACAGACTGATATTGAAAATAAATAGAAATTTTAGATGTTATCTCATTGTGATGTAGAACTTTGCTGATGTTGATTGCATCAATTTCTCTATTGGTAACGTAAACAGGAATTTCTTCTTTTCCTAATGTAAAGGTTCCGAGCTTACTGCCTTAAAAAGACGGAAAAGAGCTATATCACAAATTATACTGACAAGTCTGTATATTGGAGAAAATGTATTTATGCATCCTTTGTCAAGTGCATAATCTCTCAAACATTTTAGAAAATTAACAGGCAGTGAGAAAAGAATAGTTCTAACGTAATGTAACCCTAGGGGATGATGAAGATGAGAAAGAAGGTCATCAAGTTCCCAGAGGGCGATCTAGATTTGGAAGACGTTTTTACATTAGGCCGATGATAATGTGTTTGCCCATGACTACGTTGGTTTTGTAAGATAGCATTAAATAAACTCATTACAATAACATAAATGCAGGCTGGACTTGACAAATTTCCTACTGCTTTGCCATTATCATTTCAACCATATGGCATTGCAGTACCTAGTTCCCTTATCCAGAAATGTTCTCTATCTTTTTCGGAAAGGAGTACTAAGTACAGGGCTATTTGTGTGGTGATAAATTATCTCGATGATGCGTACTTCCATAGATACAGAAGGATCATGTTCCGGTTGATGTTTTGTGGTTTATCGTACAAGTTACAAGTACGAACAATAAGCCATTTGCACCTCCTCAGATCTTCTGCGTGTATGCTATGCCGTTGTTAAATCCGAAATATGATTTATAGAATGTATAGAGACATTTACGGTCAACAGCACTTTTAGAAATCCACGTCGTTTCAATTTCGGATCATTTCTTGTCTAAATAATAATATTACGTATGATGTTATAAGATATTTTTTCGATTATGCGTTATGTGTATAGAATAAGGAACTAAATACAGACTTCTAACTTGAAAAAAAAACCTTGTGTCTTATTCTTTTGTCATAGTTTGGTGCAATGACATGTTTTAACTATCCAAAAAAAAAAATCAAAACAACAGCAATCCTTTAGTGACCTTTTTCACTTTCAGTTTTGTTACAAATCAAGCCGTTGTATTTTCACTTGAATTGTTTCACATTTTTTTATCATAGCTGACTGGGGTTGCTCGTTGTTAAAAACTGAACGGTTATCTGTAGTTTCTTAGATAAACTCTACTACCAACAACACTAGTGGATCATTATCAAGTTAACCCTCCGGAATATCTGAGAATACCCCAGTTTTTTTATTGGGTTCGTGTTGCTAAGTCTTTTATTTTCTTTGGAGTGTTTTGTGGTTTATCGTTTCGTAGTCGTATGTTTATACCATGACGTTGTCACTTTCTCTTTGACCTATACGTTTTAAATGTCCCCTTTAGTAATGGTAGCCTCTTTTCGGACACTGGTTGGTAGTTGTATCATTGACAATCGCACCACATCTCTTTATTGTAACATAATGGCTATTGTGTGTTGAAAATTGGTAGAAGGTTGCACTTTGTAAATACAGCTGTTTCACAAACCATGCCTCTTATGGGAAGATACTATCATACAATATTCATTGATAGTTTGTTTTGTTTACGTACTGGTTCCTATATATGATCTCTAGGTTTCATCTCATAGACACACAACTTGGGAATGTTACCCGTATAAATGCAAATGAATAGCGGAAAAATTCAATTCTGAGGATGACACAAAGTGAAGGGAGGGGTTCGTACATAATTTTAGTATAAGTTTAAACTTTTAAAAATGCATGGCACATAAATGTTGAAAATATGCCGCAAATCTCTATATTTTGACCATAGATGAAAAATAGTAGTGCATATGGACTTTCCATTCTTGGATATAATATTTTACGAATATTCATAGTAACAGTGGCACAGTTTGAGCCGTAATAGGAGTTCCTATAGGAAATTGCATTGTCTATATTTACAGAAGTTGAACCAACAAGGGGTATGTATATATGGAGAACAAAATGGTTTTACCAAGAAATAAACAGCCTCCCCATAGATGAATAGATGGCCAGCCAATGCCTAAAATAAGCAAGGTCGGTTGTAGCTGCAGCACCGTAGGTAATAAGTAATAATGATATTTGTTTGACAATTTGCGGACCATAGAGCTACGGTTTTTTCCTATTTCAAAACGTTCGGAATTGCGACCCAGGTTCAGGTCGCACTTATTTCCCAAACATTTATTGTTTATCGCCTTTGCGTAGCTTGTCAATGTATATAGTTCGTTTCGTTATATTTTTCTTTCATATGACTACCTATTTATGTTTTAATATCCATTTCCTTGACACTATTATCTAATTATTTCCTTTTGTATACATTATCGGCCTGTTATGTTCAGCCATATTGAATCTCGTCGTGACGTCGTTAAAAACATGAACAGATAACTCTTATAGAAAACACGTGTTGATTTGTTTACGTGATCTTTTATTCGATTTTCATGACTATTTGAATGAAAGAGCGTTATATTGATCATTAATACAAAGGGAAATACTAATTTGTCCCTGCTCTTTAAAAAAAAATCGTGTCAATTAGTGTTCCAAAGCCTGAAAAAACACACACATCACACTAAGTGACAAGTAAACAAACTAACACGTGTTTTTCCTATTCTGTAGATGTTATTTGTTTACTGTTGTTTGTCTGTTGGACTTTTTTGTCAGCCAAGCTGTTATCAGTGTATTTTCGATCTATAAGTTTGAATGTCCCTTTAGTATCTGTCGCTTTTCTTTTTAATTGAGGTTTATAAAGCGAAGAGAACGTTAATAACTACTCCATTTTGTTTTTAAATTTCACATACGGATTCTGCTTGTAAAAATACACCAGAAAATAAAATAGTGTCAAAACTTTGT